CTCACTGCAGGAGTGTTGGGTCTGGGTGGGCAGTGTCCTATTTCTGGCTATAAGGAGCTACTGGGCTGTCTATGCTGCTAAAACACCCGGGCTGCGTTGCAGCAGTGGTGGTTAAGAGGCTGTTCTGTACAGGAAACCTCTCATTGGAGTCCTGTCCTCAGCCATGCCCTGGCTGGGTGGCCTTAGGAAAACTATTATAACCTCTCTGCTTCAATATCTACACCCCTCCCCATTGCACTGTTCCCAGCTGTACTGTGGGAAATCATTTCTAATGCTGACTTCCTTTACAAGACTCCTGGAGAAATTGTTGAAGTACCACTGAAGACATAATTATATCAGTTTTATGTAGTGGTTGGTGCATCAAGAGTAGGATCTAGGAGACCCAGGTTCAAATCCCTACTCTGGCGTGGAAACCTGCTGGGTAACCTTGGGCCAGTTGCTCAGCCTAGCCTACCTCACAGGGAGGGTAGAATAGAGGAGAAGGAGACTATAACCTGCTTTGATATTCCATTGGGGAGAAAAGTAGGTTATGTATGTGCCATCTGGGTGCAACAGAGTTATTTATTTATTATTTATTTATTTCATTCCATTTATATCCCACCCTCCCCGCACGCAGGCTCAGGGCGGCTTACAAGGCACAAAGTGCAATAAAAACAAACAGATTAAAACAACTGAAGCTAAACATTCACAACTAACAGGATACATGAAAGACTGAAATTACGCACTCCCCATTGCTTATCAGGAGGAGGTCAGAAGATCAAAAGGGGGGGGACGCCATGGGCTGCGATGTTCCAGTTACTCCATCGGCCCAACCCGGCAGTCCTGCTCCGCAGTTACGCGGTGGTGGTAGTGGCGGCAGCGGCTCCTACTCAAAAGCCTGATGGAAGAGCTCCGTCTTGCAGGCCCTGCGGAACTGTAAGAGGTCCCGCAGAGCCCTGATCTCCTCTGGGAGCTCATTCCACCAGGTAGGAGCCGCCACCAAAAAGGACCTGGCCCTCGTGGTAGCTAGCCTGGCCTCTTTAGGGCCCGGGGGTCACTAGGCGGTGTTGTGACCCCGACAGAAGTGCTCTTTGGGGCCTATATGGGGAAAGGCGGTCCCTCAGGTATGCCGGACCCTGGCCATGTAGGGCTTTAAAGGTGAGCACCAGCACTTTGAAGCGAATCCGGTACGCTATAGGCGGCCAGTGCAGCGTCTTCAGCACAGGTCTCTTACAGCTTTCAAGGCAAGCGAGACGCAGAGGTGGTTTGCCATTGTATTCCTCTGCAGATCCTTCCTTGGTGTTCTCCCATGCAAGTACTGGCTGACCCTGCTAAGCTTCCAAGATTTGATGGGATTGGGCTATGCCGTGCTACCCTCTCTCCAAAAGACTGGGCACAAACTTATGGAAAATAATGAGGAGTAATATGCTCCTGGTGCTGGAAGCATGGCTTGAGAAGATTTGCAGTGCAGTCTAAGGTGAGTTGCACACTTCTAAATCAATGGATTTGTCAGGGTATAACTCTGCTTGGGACTGCACTATTTCCAAGCGGGTCAGGCCACCACCTACAGAGCAAGCACAACATCCATGCATTACTCCTGGGCAAGTTACCATCCCAGTATTAGACTGCCTGCCAGAAATTCCATCTTCTCTTGTCGTGACTATGAACAAGGGTATGCTTTTGATAGGGGTTTATGGCTTAGTGACGGTTGTGGTCACCTACTGTGGCTTGCCACATTCTGAAAAGTTACTTAGAGTAAGGTACTTTGTCAGAGAGAAGCTGCAAATGCTCCCCTCCATCTGTCCCATTTTCATTTCATTTTTATTTTCTTCCAAGGGGCCCACATTCTCTCGTTTTCCAGTTTATTCTCACAACCACCCTGTGAGGTAGGTTAGGCTGAAAGAGAGAGAAGGCCATTTAATGAGTTTCAGTACTGAATGAGGCTTTGAACCTGGGTCTGCCAAGGGGCTCCTCCAACCTGATTTGGGTGGCAGTTCCCGCTGAACTTCTTGACAGGCAGTGCTATCTCTCCCCCCACCCAGTATTTCCTCGTCCAAAATGAAAATTGCTGGCCTGGGACAAGCGGTAGCTCCATTTCTGGTTCCTCACAGCTGGTGGACTCTGGTGTCCTTTGATGAAGGGGTCTTGTAGAATAGACACCAGCAGCAGTGCCAGCAAACGGTCACCTCTGGGAAAAAAGGAATGACTGCCCCACCCTGGAATGGGTTTTTGATTATATTCTGGCAATTGTTTCCTGCTGCCAGGGCTTGCTTCTGCAGAGCTGTGTGGCCTTCTGAGCTTTAAATAAACATTAAAAAAATTAAAAACTCTGGCCACGGGCAGTAATAACTTCTGCATTTAGAAAGCTTGACCTCCTGTGACCTGTATACATTATGCATATTGGGTAGATTTGCATTTGGCCCGCTTTGCATAGTTAATTCTGCAGTCAATTGAGCTCTGCTTAATGCAGTCTTGCTGACGGGAGCTGGCAGCGAGAGAGCTGTGCCTCTTTAAAACGTACATATGAGAAAAGATCTGTAAAGGAATTGTAATGTTGGGGATGAGTGGTGTTAACGGAAAACGGCCTGCCTCTGGAGTTTTATGGTTGTTTTCCTCAAGGGCACTGTAACACAAAGCGCCATCTCAAAATGCACTAATTGCTCTTACGTTCGTTTTATCTGGTGTACTCAGTACTATGTACGCACATTTCACTATAAAGCTAGCAGATTCACATTGTCGAATACAGTTGCTAACCCTTATTTCTTTGAGTTGTTTGCTTTTATATATAAAAGTTGTTTATTGCACCAGTTCCCTCTTAGACGATTCTTTGTTGCCTTGGCCTTTGCTGTTCCCCGGCCCCTGCTCCAAAAGCATCAAAGATCCCAGACTCAGGAGAGCCTGAGACATCAATGAATTATTTCCAAGCCATGCCACATATACTTCTATTGGCTTTATAGCAAGGAGGTCAGATAGAAAGAGCTTCAGGGTGAGGATAAATAACTTCAGACTAGTGTTTTAACCGTCTTACTGCCAACAGCGTGGCAGGAAAATAAATGCCAGTGACCTGTTTAATAGCAGAGAGCATCGATCACTCACTCTTCCAGCTCTGGGCGAAGAAAGCAGCTCCCGTTTTCTTCCCTTTTTTAGAAAAAGCAATCCTGTTGTCTGTTTCTACAACCTGATAGATGGCCAAGCGGGACGTGATAGAGGGTGGATCCATGTATATGTATTCATCTGTCCACTCATTTATGTCTAAAGGATGGGAAGGCGGTTTAAAAACACAAGAAAAGCACACAGATGAGAGGGTGCTTTCCCCCCTCCTGTGTTTTTCTTGACTGCAGTCAGCGTTTTTCTCCCGGATGGGTAAAAAATATTGAAACCTGTGAAGTGCATGAGGAAAGGTGAGAGACAGGGACACGGCTGAGGTCCCCTTGTTCATAGTCAAAAGAAGAGGGTCCCTGTAATCCTCTCTTTTAGATGTAGTGGATACATGGATTTCCCTGCTGTTTAGCTGTGCCTATTTGGTATGCGATTCTTGTGCCTTATTTTGTCTGAAATATTTTATATCCTGGTCTTTCCGAAAGATTCCAGGCAGCTGTTAAAATGCCAATATGGCATGCATATGCAATAAAAATAATAAACGTAGAAAGTGCAGCTGGTTGAATAAGCTTGGGAAAACCACAGTAGCTGCTGATTGGCAAGCAGAGAATGAAGGCAACAGGCAACTCCTGTTGCTGGTCCAGAACATCTGGTATTCAGAACTGTATTACCAATCTACTTAGTCGTGATAGTGAAATGCAAGGATCCACAGACAGGGCTATAACAGCTGTCATTGTGGCGCGTGCCCCTTATCCCATCCGGCCACTATTTCTGGCCTCTTCTCACACATAACACAGTGTTCCCCATGGACTTGAAATCTCTAGCACACAGAGTGACACCGTTTCCCCATCTCAGAAGCCCATGGCTTGGATTCTGAGTATTTCTCCTACCTGGTACAAGTCAGAGACCCTGTCAGGGTCCACTTTGCTTACCCTGGAAATTTGGGGGCCTTGTTTTGCTTAAGTCCCAGCAGCTGGAGGAAGAGTAGCAGGCAGCAAATCACTAGGGGTCCTCTCTGGGAAGCTCAAGACCATCCAAGGTACAGATGAGCCTAGAAAACCGCAGGGGGTGGCACTGGGTTAATGGCTGCCTCAGTAAATGCCGGGGCCTTGTGGCCAGTCAGGATTTCCAGAGCCCTGGCTAAATGGAGCCACTTGGCATACAGGCTGCTCTCCTATCAGATGGTGCCAGTTGGCTTGTCCTTGATGAATTTGTCCTGTCCTTAAGTTGCTGTTCAGTCGCACAGTTGAGTCTGACTCTTTGCGACCCCATGGACCAGATCACGCCAGGCCTTCAGGTCTTCCACCGTCCTCTGAAGTTCGCTCAATTTCATGTTCGTTGCATCTATGATACTGTCTAACCATCTCATCCTTTGCCGTCCCTGTCTTCTTTGACCTTCAATCAAAGGTCAAACCATCTAAATTGACCGCAACTTTTTGCAGTGGGCCCCCATAAATTAAAGATAAGGCGGTGCTTGTTCTTTCCAGCTTATGATCAGGAGGGGACAGGAGAGGGCCTCTCTTCCCCTCCACTCCCTGAGAGTCACGTGTAGCTCTCGGCTCCCAGTTTGTTCACCCCAGTTGATGGAATAAGTGCCAGGGCCCCTCTTGGCTGCCAGGCGTGTGTCATACAGTTCGCTGTATCTGGAGTGTGTGTGTGGGGGAACTCCTTGGCATACTCTGGCATAGTGGCAGTCGCGTGTGTGAGTCATTGGGCCGTGTGCCACTGAGAGAGGGTGGGTGGGTCAGGGGACAGTGGGACACTCTGTGTGCCAGGACAGTACATCCATTGTATAGCCAGCTTGGAATTTTGGGGTGGTCAGAAGAGGTGGGCTGGAGCGCAACTCCCCAGGGTGGAGTCGACATCAATAATGCATATTATCTGTCCCGTTGTGACTCCCCTTTGCTCCGTCTTCCTCACAGCTGGAGGCCACGCTGGACCTGGCAGAACGGCGGCAGATTCGCTCCGCCATTCGGGAGCTACGGCGGCAGGAGCTGGAGCGCGACGAAGAGGCGCTGGCGTCCAAGCGCTTCCGGACAGAGCGGCAGGAGAACAAGGAGAACTGGCTGAGGTAAACCCTTGAGGGGGTCTAGTGAATGTCTGGGGCGAGGGTAAGGCTGGGGAAATTTAGGGGTATGTTCGGTAACTCCTCCTTCCCCAGCTTCTTTGGTTATAAAGGTACTGGGGAAACGAATGAACTAGAACTGTGTAGGCGAGTTGGTCGCTGGGTGTTTTTCTGACCGGTGACACCAGGCCTGGCCAACGTGTGACCTATCAAGCCAAATTCAGGTTTGTATTGTCAGCCTCCTTGGTCAAGTAGTTAAACCAGCAGAGCTTGATGAGCAGTGAGTGGCCTGTTTGGCTTACTGAGCTGGACAGAAGAGCACTGGCTGCCGCTTCTCTGGCATCACCTTGGGCTTGCTGTGTCTGCTTCCTCGACTTTCAGCTCCTCAACTTTCAGCTGCAGGGAGCAGGCAGGCGATTTTGCCCCCAGGGTCTCAGCCAGCCAGGGTTTCTCCCCACCTCAGATTGTGAGCTTCCTTGCCCCTTCTTTACGCACCGCAGATGGTCTGGAGGCACTTGGACAACTCTTTCGTCTTTCTCATCTCACGGCCCTTGTTTCCCTCAGGTCCCGGCAGCAGGAGGAGGAGCAGCAGCGGCAAAAATCTCTGGATGTTCTCTCTGGGAAACTGGAGGCCATCCAAGATGTGGAGGAGCTGACAACTTTGGTGAGTGGCTGGCAGTGTTGTGCTTTTGGGGCGGAGTGTGTCCTGCCCCAGTTGCTTGAGGCCTGCTGAAGCCGGTACAGCAGAGCGGCCAAGAGACAGAGCTACGGCGTGCGAGGTCCCTTGCTGGAATTTCGTCTCTGATATGAAATTACCGGATTGGCTTAAGGATGCCACCTTCTCTTGGCCTCAGCTCCCCTGGCTTAATGTATATTACTTGGCATTCAGGTAGCATGTTGGAAGCGTCCCAAGCAGTTTATGTACAGATCACAAATAGCAGTTCTGATCTCCTCTGCAGGCTTGGTGTAGCAGTTGCAACACGCTAATGTTCGTGAGCACTCAGTGAGCATTCGTGAGCACTGAAAAACACTGAAGCACCCTTTCAGCTCCCTCTGGTGCAACATGCTGGGCTCCTTGTCTCCTTTCCACTATGCCCAGTTATTTAGATTGAAGCTTGTGTTTGGGGTTCTGTACACCTTGTAGGGAGGAATTCCTTCTTCTCCACCCCATCACTGAGCTTACCAGTGGTGGCTGTTCCTTGCCTGGTTTGGACCTCCACGAGTTTTGCAAAGAAATAGCCATAAGAGCTATTTCTCAAGGCAAACTGAGTGGCAACTGAATGAAAATCGTCCTTTATATAGCATGTTTAAAGTGTTCAGAAGCTCTTCAGGAACACCATTTTGTGAATTCTTGCAATAAGCCCCCCTCTCCATCAAAGGGGAGTCTGTTCTTAGTTTTTTAATTGATATTTTGATTTTGGCATGTGCCAAAATACAAGCAAATTAGATCACTACTTACATAAACTAGAAAAAAAGGTGCTTAATTAATACAGATGTCACCATAAAGCCTGGCAATCCAGACAACAGAGACATGTTTAATATAAATAACATTTAGATAGCTTACAAAGGAAATTTGTTTTTAATTGAATCAGACTTACCTTATACAGCCTCAATACAAGGGTATGATTTAGCGTTGTTGCCCCGTGCAGCAGATTAAGGGACCAAGGCTGAGGCAGGTGTCTTGTCTAAGACCACCTTGTGGGTTCATGACAGAGGCAAGATTTGAACCAGGGACTTCTTGGATGTTACTAATTTTGAAAACTTTGTTGAAAAGTGACTTTTGGGGATGTTCACATGTTGCATTCTTGAAACAAGTATAATGCAAAAATGCTTTACACATATGATTTGGCCAAAGGAAATGAATATATTCTGATCTCTATGCTGTTGCTTGGGTCTGTATCTGAGGGTGGCCTCTTGTTTTTTGAAGTCATTTTTGTAAGAATGCATTTCTTCTCAATAAAATTAAAAGTGTAATATAGTGACAGACAGAGAACTGCTCTGCTTAAGCCAAGGTGGCAGTGCAAAGCCAGCACTGAGCTCCCTCGACAGAGCCCTAGCTTGGCCTTTGGGTGGTCCGTAGAGGTCACTGCTCTTTCTTCTCTCTTTCAGCTGCGAGGAGCCAGTGAATATGAGGAGCGCAAACTGATCCGTGGTGCTATCCGCAAACTGCGTGCTGAAGAAATTGAAGGTAGAGCACCAAGCAGTGAAAAGGGAAGACCCTGAGTCTCGGGGGCAGGGGCTGTCCTTGAGTGTGTGTTTTTGGGATCGAGAGAGAGAGAAGCGGAGACTTAGTTAGATCCAGCTTGGCTGTGGTGCTCCTGAGCTTGGACCAACCCCCTGATGTCCTGTCTTTTTCCTCTTCCCAGCTGCGGCCTTAGCTGGGAAGGTTTTCTATAACCGGAAGGAGAAGAAAGAGACGCTGGAATCCAAGGAGCGGGAGGGAAACTCTGCAGATGGAGGCATCTCTGAGGTAAGCAGGAGAGACGGAGCCTCGTCTCCCTAAGCGAGGGCGGCAGAGCAAGATGTGCCCTAGCTTGACTCTCACCAATGTTGCTTCATCAGCTTGGGACATAAACTGCGCTCTCCTAGACACCCAAGTTTAGCTGGTGGCTTCTAGGAGGTTCCAGATGGGCTGAGCTATGTGGTAGCCCCAGGGGCAATCCTTGAGAAGGAGGGTGGAGGGCGGCAGAGCAAGATGTGCCCTATTTGTCTTCCGAAGTGCTTTGCCAGGCACACCCCCCCCCCAGGCCCCCGTTCTGTCAATAGCTGAGCGCTGTTTCTGTGCTGTCCACTCTTGGGCATGGCCAGAGAAGAGAAAAGAGCTCCCCTTCTATAGCTGAGTGGTTGAGTGCAAGACCCCATCCCCGGTGGTGTAATCTCCATGGAATCCCATGCGAGTGATGCTGCTGTTGGCTGTAGTTAGGCCAGGATGCAAAGAGGACTTTGGCGATACTTCACTTTCCCTCTGTGCAAAAACAAACAAGGACTTGCAACTTCTAGGGCAAAAGCACTTCTCAGATCTTCCACTAGGTAGCAGCCTCCTCCAAGGAAGAGGGAGCCGGTCCCTTCTGCAGTCTACTCTCGTTTCTAATCTCTTGTGAAACATCCTCCTTGAAGTTTGGCTTATCATTTTCAAAACTCCTGTGTTCCTTTGAAATGCCTCGACTGTTTCACGAGAGGAGGAGACTCCTAGCACAGTGGTTTGGCAGCAGAACCTTTGCTTTGCTTTCATAGGGTCCCAGATTCAATCCCCTGCGATCTCCTGTCCAAAGGAATTCAGGCAGCAGATGCGAGGGGAGGCCTTTCTCTGCCTGAAGCCCTGGAGCAGGGAAGAGAGGAAGAGATTTATACCTCGCCCTTCCCTACCCAAAGGAGTCAGAGCGGCTTACAATCCCTCCCCCCCACAACAGATACCCTGTGAGGTAGGTGGGGCTGAGAGAGCTCTCTCAAGAACTGCCCTTGAGAGAACAGCTCTGAGAGAACTTATGACTGACCCAAGGTCACACCAGCAGCTGCATGTGGAGGAGTGGGGAATCAAACCCGGCTCTCCCAGATTAGGGTCCACGCTCTTAACCGCTATGCCAAACTGGCTCTCACTACACCACTGCACCAAACTGCTGCAAGTCTGTGGAGACAGTGCTAATCTATGTGGACCAGTGGTCTAGTTTAGCGTAGGACAGCTTCATATGTTCAAATACGCACTTTGAATTTCACTTTAGGCAAAATTTTGGTGGCATTTCCCAGTTCTGAACAGCCCAGCTTGGCTATTATTATTATTATTATCTGAACAGCCCAGCTTGGCTATTATTATTTTTTTTTTTAACAAAGGCTAAATTTGTGGTTTAAAGCGCCAGCAACATTTACTGTGCCAGCTGATGATGCTCCCTTGTGACCCATACATAGCTCCCTCTTCTCCAGCAGCAGTGGCTTTAGTAGCGCTTTTCTGTGTGGAAATCTCAGCAACACGCTCCCGTTTGCCCTCCATCTTGGCCCACCTGGAAGAGCATAACACCGAGACTCTGGAAGAATTGCTGTTGTTTGCACGATGAGGGAAGGAGTTGGAGCTCTTTGCTTGTATCCCAGCTCTGGAGAAAGAGGCTGATGAAGGGAGGGAGGTTGGTTGGTCAACACTGGGGTCTACATGGAAGCCTCCAGGGCCTCCCTTGGGCTATCCCTACTATATAGTGCTTCCATCATGGGGAAGGATCTGGTGAGCTTGCCAAAAAGGCCATGAGGCGGAACCCCCAAAGCACTTCCTAAGGGAGGGCACTGCTTGTTGTGAATGAGGTCAGCACCAGGCACAGTTCTCACCAGGAAGAGGATTCTGTGCCTGTAACATACCACTTCAACTGCGGGGGGTTCCACCATGTGATGGAATGTTCCTCGATATGCAGAAGAATCCCATCCATGTCGGAAACGTAATTGTTTATTTTATTTGCATCATTTATACCTCGACCCTCCTCCCCAGGGGGAACCTAAAGTGCCTGACATCATTCTCCTTTCCTCCATTTTATCTTCACGACAAGTCTCTGAGTCAGAGTGTGACTGACTCAAGGTCACCCAGCAAACTTACATGGCAGAGTAGGGATTCGAACCTGGGTCTCCCGAATCCTTGTCTGACATTCCAGCCGCTTTGCCAGGCTGACTCATGGAGGGAATCCTGTAAGCCTGTGCTGCAGTCTGAAGTGGTATGGCTCAGGCCTAGGTGGGCTATCCCAGTGAAACCACAGCACAGGCATCTTTTGTGCTGCTTTTCCTTGTACATCTCCCTCACACACACACACACCCATCACAACACACTTTGAAGCAGCTGGGCCTTGGGAAAAAGAAAGGGACCCGTGCTTGTGGTTGCCTAGCAACAGTCAACCTGGAAGCGGTTTTGGGGTTGCATCTTGTTGCCTAGCAACTGCTCCCACATTGCACAGAAACATACAAAGGGTCTTTCTGTGTACTTATTGGGTGTGAGGTTATGCAGTGAACCCTCTTTTCAAGGTGTTCTGAGTGGTCCTGATTGCAGAGAGCGGGACTCCAGGAGTGTGGCGGGATGGATTTGGCAATGTGAGGAGAAAGCCTTTCTGATGTGCAATGCTGCCCTCAGCTGGCTGCCTTGAGTCAGGCCTTTGTCTCAGTTGATACAGGATGCTACACCCTGTCGAATGGACCAGTGTGCATGTGGTAATTTGAGATGCACCTTGGCGCAAGGCTGACAGAACTTGCTGGGGTTTTTTTGAGGGTTCTTTTAATTAAGGCTAATCGAACTCCCTTCATTTCTGTGCTCACAATCACGAATTCAGTATCGCCTCACTACAGGTGTGAAAGAATAAAATCTCTGCCCTTTGAAATATGTGTTTTAAAAACTTCTTCAGTCCCACCCTGAGGTAGCTAAGGGAGAGTCATGTGCCCTCTGCGATCGTGATGGATCAGCCTTTTGTGCGTTTGTTTCTAACAAAGCCCAGCAGTTACGGCTTGGAAAAGTTGCTTGCCCTGAATCCCGAGGCTTGCTGGCTGACCCCTCGGCTGCTTTTTTTTGTCAGGTGCAGGAGTTAGCAGAGCGGGAGCTGATCAAGGCCCAGATACGAGAGCTGAGGAACGAGCAGCACAGAGAAGCGAAGCCAATGGACGTTCCCGGTGAGTCCATGCAAATGCTTATTTCCATAGACTTTGACTCCCACGCCCCTGCCTTGTTCCGGCTGGGAAGGGACACCCGAGGAGAGGGGGAGGGGATGGGGAGGGGATGGAAGACACCTCAGCGGCATGGGGTGTGTGTGTGACAACTGTGTGTGAGTGCGCAAGGGTGTGTTCAAGGTATGTGGAGCTGGTGTAAGGAGGCGCAGGGTATTCTGTGTGGGAGGCCGGTGACAAAACAGATGTTACGATGAGGGATTGGGGGCTTTCTCTGTAATTCTAATGACACAATCCCTATTCAGTATTTTAGTCAACACTTACATTGTTTCAGTCATCCTTGTGCCAACTCTGGAAAGTAGGCTGGCACTGTTACTCCATGCTGCTGCAGGTTATGGAGGTGAGTGGTTTGGCCTGCTGGCAGAAGCAAATTTGGCACCAGGGGTTTTCCGGGCTCAGCCGCTTTGCAGTCCTAGTCATGATAACCTGTTGTTTGTTCTCTTCCTGCAGACATCTCCTCAGGGACCCTTCTGCTCCTGGACCCAAGCTGTCATCAGGAACCCCAGGACAGTTTCCGTTTTCAGTGGCCAACGTGGCATGGAATCATATTCATTTTACTGTTTCGTCCTAAGCAGAGTTAAACCCCCCCTCATAGGTCCTTTGAAAGCAGAAGAGTGTAGCTCTGCTTAGGACTACACTGTTAGCTGAATTTACATTAAAAATGAAATTTGGCCAGGATGGCATATGGAAGAACAGTAGCTGAGAACTTATGAATTCTCTTTGGATCCAGGAGGGAGGTTTATCTTTTTACTTTATTTATTTAATTTTTTTGCCTTCAGAAGTGCAACTCATGTAAGCCACTCTGCCCTGGAATTTTCAGGGACCAAGTCCTGTTTGATTCAGCTTATGTAAGCTGCTTTTTAGTAGTGAATGGCTTTTTAGAGACCTGAGACAAACATATGAGGTTATTATAAATGTGGAGATAGGTGTCTTTTCCAGTAACCTCACTGAGTCAACTTTAAATGGAAATAGCAGATCAGTTTTTATCAAGGTATTTTAACCATTATTATTATTATGCTGTGGCCTTGGAAATACGCCTGTAAAGAATGGCTTTATGGTCCTTTATGGTTTACAATAGGAATACTCTGCAGATTACAGATATGTTAAAGGATAGTTTGGATTGTATTGATTTAGAAGAGTTAACTTGATTTTTATTTATATCTTTGCTCTGTAACCCTTTTCTGGTATGGTACAGTTTGTGTGTTGGTAGCAGGATTAACCCCCCCCACACACACACCCTTAGTATATACTATGAAGTTGTTTTTAAAAGTGACTTGTGTATACTTATTGGCACTTTATGAGACTAGCACTTTATGAGACTCTTGTTTTATTGTAATTGAATTTTAAACTGTTTTTATGTGAATGAACGGTCATTTACAGACCAAATATGTAAGCCGCCCTGAGCCCGCTTGCGGGGAGAGTGGGGTATAAATTAAATTAATTAATAAAAAAAGGAAAAAAAGAAATTTTCACCTTTCATCTTTTTATAAAAAGACATGGAAATATCATAAAAACAATAGCAGAACTTGTCTGGGATTGAGGAAGAAGGTGTGTGGGGTTGGCAATGGCACAGGTATTAACCGCTCAGTACCTTCCACAGCTGAATTTTTGCTGGTTGACGTTAAACCATGCTGCAGACTTGCAGAACAATTTTTTCCAGAGTTTTCATTGGATGCAGTGAGGATGCTTTCGAAGTGGTCTCATTACATTGAAAGTATTTCAACTGTCCTCACGGATGCCGGTGGCCGGCATCTTCAGAACCTTTAGGGTGTTGGCCAGAAATGACATCGCGTGATGCATGATGTCACGCCTGGCTGAAAGCCCGGATGTAATGTAAGCATGTTGGGTGACACTCTGGCCGTTCCTTAAGTTATTATCTCACATCCAGGTTTTTTGTCAGGTGTAACCCTACATGTTGTGCAATGTCACTGCCATCCCTGGCCCTTTCTCCCAGCAGTCAGGTAAGAGAGGCGGGAGGGTTGCCCCACCAGTGGAAGCCCTCCTGCCATAAGTGGGTCTTTATCATAACAATGTAATAGTGGGTCAGAAGTGAGTTTCCCTGTGAAGACTGTGCAAATGATGTGATACAGTCTTGGTAGAGAAGTTATTTTTGCAGTCTTCTGGGGGTTCCCTGGGTTTTGAGAGCCAGGAGCACATGTGGTTGGTCAAGGGACTGTGTTCCCATTGTACTCCCTCTCTTCTTTTCCATAGGTTGTTCTCCGGGCCCCAGAGAAGGAAGCAAGTGCAGCCCACAAAGTGGTGGATGGTAAGCATGGAAGCCAAGCCGTTTTCTTGCCCTGTAAATGATATTAGTGATCTTTTCCAGAGTTATAGGCAAGGACAATAGTGCTAGGAAAAGTTGAAGGCAGAAGGAAAAGAGGACGACCCAGCATGAGGTGGATTGACTCAATCAAGGAAGACACCGCCCTCAGTTTGCCAGACTTGCAGCTTCTCGTACAGTGCATATTTTTTCCTGGTTTTGTTGCCCCTCCGACCCCATTTCCCCTCCTTTTCCATGCAGTCTTATTTAGCTTTTCCTCTTCTGGGTTCTGAGATTTCAGCAGACGTTCCACAACTGATTCAGGCTGCAAGTGCATTCTTTAAAAAAATAAAAATTTATATATATGTGTGTATATGTATATGTGTGTGTATATATGTGTATGTATATATATGTATACATATTTTTTTTAAAGAATGCACTTGCAGCCTGAATATATATATGAAATGAAAGCTGAGATTTTCAGGAAGGTGAATTCTGCACCGGTGTTTTTGCTGTGCTTCTACAGAGATGCAGCTTGCAATCTCCGTAATCAGTTTCTACAGGGAGCCATCATCGCACACAGTTTACTTCCCTGCTGCTCTTCTGTGGTTCTTTCTCTCAAGTCTGTCGCCAGATAGTGAAACTGAGATTTGAATGCAGGAAATTCCAGGCCATTTTCAAATATTGACACACATATAGAGAGCAGTACAGCGAGGGGTGCTTGAGGCTTCCATGGGCATGGAACAAAGGGTGTTTTCTCCACATGCCAGCCAAGTTGGCAGGCTTGATCTCTCAGCAGATGCGCTTCAGTCTCTGCCCCACCAGTCTGAGAGAGCACCATCACACTTGCTTATTATCAGGGATCATTAATGGTTCGTCCTGTCAGGTTAATGAGCACTGTTTCTGCTCATGCTTTCTTGGTGGCCACTCCTGTGTTGTGCAGTGGGATTCTGGAGGATGCATGGAAGGTCCCAACTTTGCAGAGGTTTCAGAGGCTTAAAAGGGCAGAACTTTTCTGGTGTGCTTCTGAATGGAGGTTCATCGTAAATCGGGTAATGGATTGCTCTCGTCTTGCTAATTGTGTTTTTGTAAAATGACATTCGATATGATTTTTTAAAACTGCTTTGAGTCCTGTTGGCTGGGAGAGAATATTCACCTCTTTTTTGTGAATATTTGCGTGTGTGCGTGTCTGTGTGTTTGCGAGCCCGGAACTCATGGTGACTTCTTGCGATCCTTAGTGGGGCTAGGACGTTTTTCAGAGAGGTGGCTGGACATTATCTGCCTCTGCATCCCGGCCCTGGTTTTCTCTGGAAGTCTCCCGTCCAAATACTTTCCAGGGTTGGCCCTGCTTAGCTTCCGAGATCTGACGAGATCAGACTTACCTGGGCTATCCAGGTCAGGATGAATATAATTATTTTAAATTGATTTGTTGTACTTCATTTCTCCCCGGTTGGGACCCAAAGCGGATTACATCATTCTCCCCTCCATTTTATCCTTTCAACAACCCTGTGAAATAGGTAAGGCTAGGAGCGTGTGACTGGCCAGGGGTCACCCAGCAAGCTTCCAGGGCAGAGTGGGGACTCGAACCTGGGTCTCTTAGATCTTAGTCTGACCCTCTAACCATTGCAGCACACTAGTGAATAACTTCAAAGCAGCAGGCAGAGTAGAGGGGAGATGGGAGGCTGAAAATCTCTGTGTTGTGCGCACACACAGCTGGTAGACTGAGTCTACAGCTGGTTTGTTGTGTGTGTGTGTGGGGGGGAGCTGTTCTGTAGCGAAAGCTCTGTCCAAGGCATGCCGTGTCTAAGCTGCCTGGTCTGAAAGGAGCCACTTGCAAGAGCTGAGCTTTCCCCGCCCCACCAGAAGTCTGCAGGAGTTATTGTCGTTTGGCCCATCGATGCACCGTGCTTCTCCCCAGCTCGATCCCAGCTGCACATGTTTTTGTAAATCCCAGAAGGATGGGGACTTCCAGGAAAAATCAGAGCCTGTGTTGGCGTGGAGAGGAAGGTCAGGGGAGCACAGAGGCAGTCCTCCGCAGAAGAGGGCGGGATCCAGGGCTCTGCCCCTGTGAGGTGGAGCCCTCGAGGGCCTGGCGTTCCGTGCGCAGGGGCTGCTCCTGCCTCCTCCTCACTATCCCCACCGCATCCGCACCCCCTGTGCTGTGGGGGCTTGGCCTCCTCCTGCGTCTCCCCTTCCCTCAGCACCAGAGGAGGGGTGTGTGGGTGAGGGGGCAGTGCCGTATGTAAGGCTTTCTGGGAGGCTGCTGCTTTTGCAGGGCCATGAAAGGGAATCTCTGCTGCTCAAGAGTTGGACCTTTTGCATTCTTTAGCCCAATAAGGTCAGGAACAGCTCCTCGCTCCTTCCTTGGCCGGGCCCCTCCCCTCCCCTCTCCTTTGTGCTCCTGATGTGGTGCTCGGCCTGGCAGCTCAGCGTTGCTCTCCCCGGCCAGTCGAGATGCCTCCTGGGCACCCCTTTGAAGCTCTGCCGCCTCTCTGTTCCCTCCTCCTCCTGTTATTACATTTCCCACTTCCCCAGTAACACTTTCTCCTTTCCCAGGACTCAGTTGTATGGGGTTTGGCAGGGGGTCACGATGGAAGTCTCAGGAAACGTGTCATTTATCATTGCATGCCTCACGTGCCTCCGCTGTAGCGATTCTAGAACAGTAAGCGGGTCTCTTCTCCCCAACCAACCACCAACCCCCATTCCCGCCTTGTAGTGTTGGGGCATTGGGAGTTTTTGCAGCGGAGCATTCTTAGATGCCAGCACAGTGCAGGCAGCTGGGAGATTCTTGATCTTTTGCACTGTGGCCTTACAGCTGTCAAGGGAGCAAGGATTGTTGCATATCTCTGTCACCATTCCAGTCTGGCTGGGGATTAGTTGTTGGGAGAGTCTTCCTTTCCTTCGCAGGTGGAAGGGCATTCAGGGGGGGAGGGGGCTTCACTCGGAATTTCCCCTCCCTCCCAGCTGCCAGTTCAGGGGTTTCTGGGCCACTTAAAGCTGTCCTGATATTGTCTTTTCCAGGTTGCATTTTCTTGTGGCTTGACTTACTTGCCAGAGCTGTTTTTTTGTTTTGAAGCAAGCTGGTATGCTGCAGTCTGATTCGTGGGTTGCATATGTTTGTATGGGAGGCTGGTAGGCAGTGTGCCTTTGGAACTGGAGCCGATGCTCCACTTAGACGTTGTTTTAGCTCTAGTGTGACTCTGTTGCGCGGAAGAGGACTGTCCGGTGGGGAGGGCCCTCAGCTTCGTGACCTCCCTGTGAACTTTCCATTTTTTTTAAAGCTGAGTACGCAGCAGCATTCACGTGCTCAAAGCACTTTGCGCCCTTCATCTTGTCACAACAACTCTATGAGTTACGTCAGTAGAAGGTCCGATCTGGCAAGTGTCATGTTGTTACAGAATTCACAGATACAAAACACGAAGGTGGCTACTGGCACAGATGGCTTTAAAGAAAACTGGATGAATTCACTGCCGCTATTGGCCTGGGTAGATGAATGAGCCCTCTGTGTACAGAGGCAGTCTACCTCTCATTCGCAGTTGTTAGGTGGAACCAACTGGGGAAGGCCCACACCCTTCATGATCATGGGTCTGGCCGGTTCTTAGCTTCCCACTTCTCTCCTGCAAGGCAATGGGGCAGGAAGACAATTTGCCACAGCAAAGTAGGGGGCAGGGAGGAAGAGCAATGCCTTTTCTGGTGCAATTTGCTTTCTGTGTGGAACTACCTCTAGCCGAGGCTCCTAAAGCCAGGTTCGTTGCTCAGTCCGTGTTCTTTAGTTCCACTGTTCCCTAGTTCTCCCTCTCCGTTTTGGAGCCATGTGCCTTCAAAGGGGTTCTGGCTAGAGATGTACAATTTCCGGAAATGTTGAAGCTCGGAAAAAAACCCATTTCCCCCCTATTTTTTTTCAGGGAAAAATGGAATTTTTGGGGAAAATTGAAAAAAAATGCTACATTAGTATTTTTTTTGTCTTTTCTAGATTGAAAGTCATTCTGTTACTTTAGGAACATAAAATATGACTATGGACATTTTTACTTGGCATGAAATTATCACAACTAGCATATTAAAAATATAGTGTATCCAAACAATTGTTACAAACAGAATACCCACCCACATGCAAAAACAAAACTGAAACCTTTTTATTTTCTGACAGTTGCACCTCCTAAAGGAAGGAAATGCATCTTGTTCTTGCATTGGAGAGTTCCGTTTGTAACCTAGGACTTGCTTGTCCTCAGTGCACAGAAATTAGATCAATCTGATACCATATATATATATTTTAGAAATGTTGGAAAATATTTGAACACCTTGTCTAAAAATATTTTATTCATCATGTTAAAATAAAATGTTCCGTAATCAATTTTTTCTTTTCTTTTTTCAATTTTTCCAATTTTTCGGAAAAAAAATAAAAAAGACTTCAGGAAAAAAACAGAAAAAACCCTGTTTTTCCCCGATTTTTTCCGGTTTTTCCCCGGGCTTTCTCATCTCTAATTCTGGCTTTGACCAGATGCGGACCTATCTGAATCTTTCCCCCTGGGAAACAATTTCAGAGCCTGTCTAAGGCTTTTGAAGGTGGGAGAGATGGCCTGGTGGGGAAGGGAATCTTTCTCTGGCTGTGTACGTACAGGACTGTCTGAGGGCTCAGCTGTGGTGGTGATGGGCGGGGGGCGGGGGAGGTACTGTGATGGCAAGGCTGAAGGGTAGGGAGGATGCCCTGGAATGCTGTGGCACAGTCACTAAAAATGCAAAGCCGGGAA